TTATGCGCTCTGGAGGCACACTCGGAGAATATCAGAGTAAGGGACCTACCTGGGTAGAATTGGGGAGCTCTTCTAAGGTGAGACATGCTTTTGGGGCAAAAGACAGCACAGGTTTAGACATCTAGTAGATGGAATAGAAATGGGGCTTGGACTCCAGTGACTAATAAGGATCTCCTCTGTTAGCTGGGAGCTTGGACTCCAGTGGCTAATAAGAATTTCCTCTCTTTGCTGGGAGCTCATTATCTGTAAATGACTGAGAAGGCCAACCTGGGTATACTGGTTGATCATAAGATGACTATGAGCCACCAGTGTGATTGGGCTGTGAAATAGGCAAATGTGATCCTGGAGCGTGCCACAAGAGTTATTTTTCTGTAAGAAAAGGCAGCTTTGATGCTATGGTATAAGGTCCTGATGAGACCTCCTATGGAAGGCTCATACTGGGACAGGTGCAAAGAAAGCCTATTACAATGGTCCAGGGAATGGAGAGCTTGTCTTACAAGAGAAGATAGGAGTCTGGCTTGCTTAACCTAGCAAAATGTTGGCTGAGGGGCAATGAGATTGCTGTCTAGAAGCATAGTGTTTGCCCAAGAATAAATGGGTATGCACTCGTCATGAATAAATTTATGCTTGAAATTTAAAAGATTTCTAGCCATCAGAATAAATCTCTTGAAGAGCCTTTTCATATTAGTTGAGGAGCAAAAAACTACTTTAAAAAAGATGTAGAGCTGTTTACAAAAATGGATATATGCTGTGGTTGCTTGCAGCAGCAAGGGACTGAACCTACTGACCCTGGAAGTTCTTTCCAGTCCTGTGTTCACAGTGAAGCCTAGTATGTGGGGCAGGGTACTAGGACTTGGAAGAATGCCACTGGCCTGTTGAGTGATCTTTGGCAGGTTATTTCCCTCTCTGCCTCAGTCTCCTGATCTGTAAAATGGGCATGATGACACCTGCCTCACTTTGTAAGGATAACAATTCTTAGGTAAGAGCTCTGTATTGTTTACACATACCCTAGATATGGACCTGTTCTATATCTTTTGTTTTTCGTGTAGTTGAGAAGTGATTTTTAATTGAAAAAGAAAAAACAAACCCAATAACGAAGCTGTGATTAAAAGGCTATGTTTGTACTTCCTAAGGAAAAGCATCTTTTTGAGTTTGTGCATTAGAAACATTTGGTTTGAGGCTCAGTGTTTGTAAACATGCTAGACAATATTTTCCAATTTTGTGCAACTATTATTGTAGTATGTCTTTCACGTAAATTAAAGCCTTATTAGGTATAAGGCCTAGGAGGGATTATTTGGGGGTGGTTAAGGAACGGTTGATGGTGTGGAGAATTTCTAACAAGAACATTGCCATGGTTTAGTATTTTGTAAATATTAGCCCTGATAACATAATATGTATACTTTGATGCTCTAGCTATATACATGCACAGTGTCAGCCATCATTTTGAATGTTGTCATTTTTGTCATGGCTGCACTATGTACATTACTATTTGCAGTACTTCTGCCTAATTTATATGCATTTGTATTTGCAAGTCCGTTTGTGGCATTTGAACTGTTAGCAAATCAGAGCTGCACAACAGTGTAATTAAAGAGCAGTTTTGACCATTGGCCGCTTAACTTGGGAGAGGTGAGGAAATGATAGTCTGTAAAATGTTCTAACTAGGACTTACTCATTTTGACCATGGTGGAACCTACATAGAGGTCAAATGAGCTGTTCTCTGCTCTTGTGGATTTCTGCCTTTCTCTAGAATTAAGGGCTTAGTTTTTCATTTGGTAGCATTGCTATAGCTAAAAATAATTCAATTAATTCCTCCAGAGAGCTCTCACTTACAAGCTTTAGAACAAGAGCTATGACCACATTATTTATTACTTGAAGTGGTGGGTTTGATTCCCGTCTCCTACTGCTTTTACATGCACACAGCTTCCTTGATTTCCTAATATCTGTGGTTTTATAAGTAATGAAATCATCTTGCTCTTAACTATCTTCTCCCTGCCCAGAGCTGTAACTGGCTTTTAGATATTTCTGCTACAACAAATAGTTTGCAGTTTCTCAAACCCCGGTGCTCTCCTCGCTGGGGGGCTCATTTTTACTGCAGAATTGCAGAGGGAGACAGCTGTGTAATAGTTAACGAGGCCCAAGCGAGCTTGCTAAATACTCCACGTGCTTTGGAACGCACCGTGTTTTGGTCCAAAGTGCAGTTTCATCCCACCTGTCACAGCGCAGAGAAGAGCCAGCTTGTTTTCCTGGAAGCAGACTGTGTTCAGCATTTCACCCCCGTGACTTGAGACAAGTCGACGTGATCTTTTCGACGCACTGTGTCCTGGTGATTCTCATGAAAATACACCCCCAACTTAGTGCTTTCCAGTTCCATGAGTTTCTTTTGTCCCGTGTCAGTGGTCTGTATTGCATGTTTGCCAACAGGCTTCTTCATTGCTCCTGAGGATGGAGGGACTTTTATTGGAGAATTTTAACATGTCTTTTCCAGTGGCAGGTGACCAGAATCTTATACTTTAAATGTATAAACTGTGTTAATTTTTCTTCACTTGTAGAATCATACCGATTTAGAAGGCTAAAACTCTGGCTAGCCAATTTAGTGATAAAGAGAGATCGACATTCAGTCTCCAGTCCCTTGTTACCATGAATATATACAAAAACTTTTATCTCTCTTATTGGTTATTAGGTTGTTTGATTTCTCCACCCCCCCCCCCCCCCCCACA